TCGTTGTTACCTTTCTTTTTCTTTTTTGTTGAATCCGTTGCTTTGCGGTTGGTAAATGAGCAAGAAAAAAAAAATAAAAGAAAAGAAATGTGGCTATATTGGTTCAATATATAGAGAAGCCTCTCCAGTGACATGTTTGGTTACAATTTTTTAAATGTTATGAGGATAGTTATTTTAAAAAACAAATATGAATATTGATATTTTATTAATATTGAAATAAGTAATAGTAATTTTTTTTTAAAAATAATATAGGCATCGTTCATTTTACCAATTCGAGTTTAGAATTCGAATTTTGCTACAGTAAAAAGTTCTCAGAAACAGTCACATTTAGGGGATGTTTGGAAGGGGGATTCGGCCCCTGATGGCTCGTTACAGTATTTTCTCTTATAAAAAATACACGTAAATCGAAAATAGTTCTAATATCATGATTCTAATCCATGAACCAAACGTCTCCTTAACTTTTTTACTACAGTAAAAAGCTTACATAAAGTCACATCTCAATTCGAATTAACAAACTAAACGGACTCATAATAGTTTATTTTTTAGTCACTATATAACATTTTCATGCACAATCAAACACAATATATTATTCTTGAGAATTTAAGAGAAAATGCCTATACACAATTAAATATAATAACGTATATTTTTTAAAATTTATATTACCTCTTATTATTTTCTCAAGAATATAATTTTTACTGATTATTACGTAGTTGTATTTTTAGTGTCAGCCGTGCATACAAAGCTAAATACAAGGAAAGAATCTGTGAGAGAGAATCAGCTATTTGAAAATACAATCAGCTATTATGGTCTCGTTCGTTTCGCTTATTCAAGTTTAGAATTCGAGTTGAGATGTGATTTTATGTGAAAGTTTTTTATTGTAGTAAAAAAGTTAGATGTGACTGTTTGTGAGAGCTTTTTACTGTAGCAAAACTCAAATAAACGAAACAAACAAGGCCTATAACTACTTGAGAGAGAATCTAGGATGTAGTCGAAACTGACGGTGGTGCTGCCATGTTTTTAGGAGAATCTGATGAGGATAGCAATTGTAAAGAGGATTCTCTAACATCTCTCTTCTTTTCTTCTTTTTAATGGGTTTGCTTCTGGGTTTCAGTTCACGAAATGAAATATTTTAATATATAAAAATAATAATAATAATTATCAGTAGTGCACAATTAGGAAGATGTTAGAGCTTGCCTACTAAAGCGATGCAGTATACGCGAAGAACCCAACAGCATAAACCCGAGAGAGTGAAAGAACTCACTTCATATATTTTAAGTCCGTTTAGTTCGTTGATTTTAGTTTTAATTCGAGTTGAGATATAATTTTATGTGAACATTTTTTACTGTAGTAAAAAAGTTAGATATGTCTGTTTATGAGAGTTTTTTACTGTAACAAAACTCGAATTTTAAACTCGAATCGGTGAAATGAACGAAATTTTATTTTTAAAATTTCACTCTGGTCATGATAATTTAACATGTTAGACCCATGATATCAACGAAAAAAAAATCTCTCTTTATAGTCGAATTAGCCACTTCCTTGAACCATTATACCACTTGTACACCCGGGAAACAACAAAATCTTTAGGGAGAAATACTTGGAGCTAAGTGTAAAAATAACCACATAAAAAGAGAGATGGATCAAATTAAGAGCATAAAAGATGAAAGATAGAGATGAGAGGGATTTTCATTGGAGGAAAGCGCAAGATGAGAAAGTTGAGTTTGAGGGACGAGGAGGAGAGCAGAGATTTATTTTCTTGAGAAAAGTTTTTTTATTTACGTCATGTTTATTTTATTATTTTAAATTTTAAATTTAAATTTTATTATAATAAATTTTTTTTAAAAATAATCATATTTAATTTTTTTATTACAATAAAAATTATTTGATAAGAAAAAAATTAAAAAGATTGGAATCCTCTATAGTCCCCCACTTCCATTTTTGTGGGAAATTTTCCCTAC